ATTTTTCTTTGTCCAATTTCTTCAATTAATTCAATATCTAAATTTTTTGTGTTGGGATAGTATCAGAAAGGTTAAACTGATCAAAATAATTATAACATATTTAACTGTAATAGCCACTTTTTGCATGCGCTTTATAATTCTTTTAACTAAATTTAATAGCGAGATGGACAGCGAATCTTGCGTCGCATAGCGGCAAATGAAGGAACTATTACAATTTAATATTGCGTAGTATATTTTGCAATGTCTCCAATGAAATATTAAATTTATAATATTTGCACAATGTTGCTTCAATATTTATTATGATACAATGAAATAAAATATTTATGCAATATTTTAGCAATATTTTGTGCTGTAAGAGAATTTGATGGACATCCTGTGGACGTCCAAATATTAGTCACTGATGGATGTCCGAAATCGGATGTACAATGGACGTTCATTTTATGTCCATGGACGTACATACGTAAAATGGATATAAAATGAACGTCCATAGGACGTCTTGTGCTATCTGGGTTATAACTCGAAAATTATTGACTTCTCAACATTTTTGCTAAGGAAAAATCGTCTCAAAATTGGCCAGAGAATCCGCCCTTAATCATTGGTCCGTTAGTTACCGGACACCCTGTATATATTATATAAAAGTGTATAGCACGTCAGAAGCTTGTGAGCTTACAGCGATAAGTAAAAACAATTGCGTATCTATTTCATTGCGTTTATCTGTTTAAACGCGCGCTTTAATTTTTCCAACGTTTTTGCCTGTTTATATTTTAAAGGTCCTCTCTTCTAAAAATCTTGTTTTAAAGATCCTCTCCGCGAGCAAAATTCGAAAACATAAATTATTTAATATTTTTACTTTATTATTTGTAAATCCTCGGTAATTTCAAAATTTTTCTATTTGAAAATTATTAATTTTCTATTGCCAATTAATTTTATCACAGACTTTACTCTTACTTCCATTGCACTTTCGTTTGCGGTTTTCAGTATACGATTTTTTATCGTAGTTACTAAAAATTATTATTGTGAATTATACTTGTGCAGTGATTTGAAGAATTTACAATTTCGTTGAAATTGTTGATTCTTCAAAAAAATTACGAGATTCGCGGAAATTGCGTGCTTTCTTGGCATTTTCCGTTCGCGGCAGGCGGTTTATTTTTGATTGTTGCAAGTGTTTTTTTTTTTTTTTTTTATTAAAATAGATAATAATAATGTGAAATAAATCACGATATTTGACAGATGTGCATATATATAGAAATTGTAATAATAATAATATTATATCATAAAATTGTAAATTGTTTCAATTTTTTATAGACTGCGATAAAAGATTTTACATTTGGATAAGAAACTGCGGTAAGTAAAAATATAAAATTCTTGAAAACGTACCAAAAATATTTGATAACGTAAAAAGGTGAACTTTGAAAAATAAGGAACTTAAAAATTGCACTAATAAATGGGCTATATGTGAGCCGTGCGCGGATGTAAGGTGTGTTATATCGAAATTTAATTAATAGAATTGAGAATTAATCCCAATTTTAAGTTTTACAAATGTCCAAGCTAATTTTTTGTACCTCGTGTACATTTTTGAAAGTTATATCGAAAAATTAAATTTCAATTGCGTCTTACATCTCACATTTCGCATACGGCTCACATATAGCCTATTTATCTTTTATACTTTATTTCAACCCTTATAGAAATTTATTACTAGTAACGCCAATTTATCACTTATTTCGAGTAATTAATCACTTTTATTTCGAATACTTAAATTACTGTATATTATAGTATTTTAAATACTCGAAATAAGTGATTAATTGGCGTAGTGATAAATTTCTACAAGAGAATAAGGAGCCTTTAAATTCTTAATGTAAAAAATTTCAAGTAATTTTCTTTAATAAAATTTAATTAAAAAATTTAATTAAAAAATTTTTGAACACTATGTTATATCACATTTAAAATCGTGATTATTTCAATAAAAAAACATTTTATGTGTAAAAAATATATTTTTTATATTTAATAAATTTATATATATATATGCATATGTAAAATATTCTCTCTCTCTCTCTCTCTCTCTCTCTCTCTCTCTCACACACACACACACACACACACACACAACGGGGGCCAAATCTCTCAAATTGGTCTCATGATCAATTAGCCTGGATTCGCACCAGGGGCAAAGTCTGTTGGTAATGTCAAACGAATTTAGCCTGGACTTGCACCAGGAGCAAAGTCTTTTGGTCGAGTCTACGAAATTTAGCACGGACTCGAACCAGGGGCAAAGTCTTTTGGTTCAAGTCTACGAAATTTAGCACGGACTCGAACCAGGGGCAAAGTGTGTCGGTAAGGGGCAAAGTCTATCGCACGAAGATGGCGGTCTCTTCTTTAGGCAGGCCTTTGGCGATCTGTCTATTAATCTGTGATACTATTATATTGCTAACAGCTATAAGAAGAAAAGAGAAAAAAGATACGCCGAAGAGAGACAAGTATAGCAGGACAGTTTGCCGTTCTGCGTATGCGTGACTTCTATAAAGGCGTATGAGCAATTTTTCTCATCCCCACTTTCGATTTTAGCACATGCGCACATCGCGCAATTGTCCTTTAGAGCGAGACACGAATATATTGTCTGCACCGTAATGTTGGCTATAGTTTCTCGACCTGTGTTAGCAATATAAGGTGCTTTCCAATTGTTTAACACATTTTAACACAAACATACACAGGAAGGCACAAAGTGTAGCGATGTGCACGACTCAATTGGAACAAAGTTAATATGCGACTTTTGAGTAGATAGTGAAGGATTCTTTATAACCATATCCATCTTGATATTTTATAATCCATGGCGATAGTGATGATCGAACTAATTATACGAGACTCGAGTTGGAAAATATAGGTATTTTAACATTTTATTATATTTAGCGTTTAATGTTGTATATAATTCATATATTTATAATTATAAATGCATAATATTATATTAATATATAAATATGAACAAAAATTTAATCATTAATAATATACATAACCTGCAAATATGCAAAAAAAAACAACTTTATTTTATTTATTAAATATAATAAAAAAATTATTTGTACAAAAACTCATTAATTCGAATTACTTACTTCAATGATACTTTTAATATTTTTATTGTTTATATTCATATTTCAGTATAAATATACTTATAATATACTTTCAGTTATTGATGTAAATATACTTCAGTTTCTTTTGAATACAACTTTTGATAGATAAAAAAAAAAGAAAATTGCCAACATAACTGCCGTTAGTTTGCAACCGCACATTTAATTGTCCCTAGAAAATAGAAGATTACACAGCTGACTAGTAGCCCTCGAGCTGAGTACGGATGTGTAATATTGTGTCGGCAGTTACTGCAATTGGAACGTGATTTGTGTCGCAGTGTGCGTAAAAGTGTCTAGGGAAATTTCAATTGGAAAGCACTTATAGTAGTATTACATATATGTTCTCTGAGGGTGCCGTCACATGAGGCGTAACTTGTGTACGCGTAACTTGCGATAACTTACGCCGGCCAATCACATCGTCTCATTTCAGTATCAGCTTCTGTCTAGTTATTTTATGCTTTGTACGCTATTATCGTTACGTCGAATTCAATTTCTGGCGGAAGAAACGCTGATGCGTATTTGTAAAAAAAAAAACACAACTCCATTTGTGCGTTCTTCTGCCAAAGACTAAAGACAAAGAAGAAGTTAATTTTAATCTATCCATACCTATACATTAATAAAATGAACAAGAATAATCAAATAAAGGTAAGTTAACAAAAATCTAATTTATTATATAAGCTTTAATAGCGTTCGATTAAAAAGTCTACTGCTCACGACATGTGATACAAAATTTCAAGTTTAAATTGTATATTAGTAGGTCTTCGTACTTTTTGCATTTGAAATCTGTTTTTTCTTTCTCTAATATTTAACATATATTGATTTCTTGTTTTACATGCATAAATTTTTGAGAATTTTGAGCAAAATGAACATTATAATGCATTATTTTCTATATTGCATGTTTGAATCTTTTCAGCACAAATGCGGGTATTGTGGATGGCTTCCAATTTTCTACTAATTTTGTCGAGCATGAATGCTTCAAGCATTATGTGGAAGATAAGGATCGCATCGTTGTAGATGAAAATTTTGTCGTAACAATATGTTATAACAGTATGTTTACTACATTCTTTGCATATATTTTGTTGTATCATTTTATTGTATTATAGTAATTACATGTATTTATTTATTTAATCGCTGCTGCCTAAATCAGATTTCTCTGTAGGTGAGCACCACAAGCCAAAATTATTTCTGTGCAAATGTCTGGTGTAGAATTTAATAGGACACAAAAGAGACGTTGAGAAGAGAAGACAAAAATTAGACAAAAAGGACATCTGCATTAATCTTTTTTATGGGACCTAGGAGATTAAATTTAATATGATTATTAGAAATACAATAGATTATTACCTTAAAAATGCTGCAAAATACTAAGCTGCATCGATTATTTCTCGTCTTCTACATATTTCGTTTATCTTGACACTTTGCCAGCCATTTTAAATATGCGCGTTTTACGGAACCAAAGCATCGGTTCCCCATGAAGCGTATTATTCGGGACGCGTAGGTTACGAAAACCAATCACAAGTCCTATTTAGCATTTCTATTAAAGCATACAACGGAAACTCTAATCTACGATTGGTTGTATTAGTTACACATTCCGCGCAATACGCCCTATGTGAATGCTATCCTTCAGAATAGCGTAACCATGGCGTATCTTTTATTAAATCACTAGATTACACTAGAATACGCAGGTTACGCCTCATGTGACGGCACCCTGACTTCTCTCTAGGTTTGTTCGCGTCGCATGCCCCAACTTGCTCCTTTTTACTTCAATGCGCTCGTATTGGTCCAATTCGAGGAGCGCACTAATACGAGCGCATTGGAGTAAAGGTGCCTTTACATAGGAGCGTCGAGCGTCGAGCGTCGAGCGTCGAAAGGTATGAGCATGCGTAGTGATGCCTAGTGATTTGATGCTGAAACGCAGGATCAATTGGAGCAGTCAGTTGATTATTACTGTCATTTAAATTGCGAAACATTAAAAAAATGTCGATTAATTATCGTTATCATCAATGGTTGTTAGAATGCAATAGCATTATCAATCATGAATATAACGAACAAAGAAAAGTTGAATTAATTGCAGCGATACCAGCAATAGTCAATATAATAAATGCAAACAATAAAAGGAAGAGGAAATCTGGGTGTCAAAAATATTTGCCGAAAGGCAGAGACACGGATTGTATCATGCAACATTGCCCAATGTAAGGCTGGAAGATCTGCATTTTAGAAATTTTACAAGAATGACTATGATACAATTGGAAGATTTGTTGTTAATAGTAGGACATGATTTAAAGAAACTTTATGTTGTGCGTGAACCTATAAATGAAGAGCAACGTTTATTAGTTACTTTAAGGCATGTATACTTATAAACTTAAACTATATTATTGTAATAATGTGTAATACAAAAAATCTCTCTGACAATGTAAAATAGTAAAGTATATATTACATATTTTTATACTCATTAATATTATAGATATCTCGCCTCAGGAGACAGTATGACATCTTTGTCATATCAATTTTTAATATCTGCAAGTAGTATTTCAAATATTATACGTGAAACATGTTCTGTCTTATGGGAGCGTTTATATCCTATTATACTTGCACAATGTGACACAAATGACTGGAAAAAAATTGCAAATGACTTTGATAATAAATGGCAGTTCCCTCATTGTATTGGTGCAATTGATGGAAAACACGTCATTATTCAAGTAATTCTTAAAATGACAAAAATATGTAAATGAATATATATGTAACTCAAACTGAAGCAATTTAATTTTACTTAATATTATTTCAGTGTCCTGACAACGCAGGATCAGAATATTATAATTATAAAGGCAGTCACAGCATTATTTTACTCGCAATAAGTGATGCAAATTACATCATACGCTGTGTGGACATTGATGCTCCTGGAAGACAGGGTGATGCAGGCGTTTTTAAAAATAGTGCTATGGGCTTATTATTAGAAAGAAAAGAATTAAATATTCCACCTCCTGAAGCACTATATGACAATGGTCCAATTTTGCCATATGTATTGGTAGGAGACGAGGCATTTCCTTTAACAGAATATATGATGCGACCATATCCAGGAAGAAATGGAATGACATTAGAGAAACGGATATACAATTATCGTTTATCTCGAGCTCGTCGAACAGTCGAAAATGTGTTCGGTATCTTAGCTAATCAATGGCGCCTGCTAAGACGACCAATTATAGCGAACATTTCAAATGCAATAAAAATGGTTCAAGCAATAATTTGTCTTCATAATTGGTTGAGAAAGCGTGATGTTGAGCGAGAAACGTATATAACACAAAATCTTGCAGATCGATCTGTAGTAGACGGAGACATTGAAGATGGCTCTTGGAGAAACAATGTTAACGATTATCAAGGATTTATGGATATAAGATGTACTCAAGCGAGAGCATATTCGTTACGCGCAGCTCACATTCGAGAAGAATTTTGCAGATATTTCAATGAAGAAGGAGAAGTAGGTTGGCAAAACATTCAAATATACAAATGAAGCAAATGTAAATGTATTATATAATGTATTATATCATTTGTACTTTTGAATCAGCCTAAAGGTAATATTGCGGTAACTGATGTTATTATGCTAAAGAGAAACACACAATGCTTCGTAAATATAATAAATATTAGAAATCAATGTTATACAAAAATAACACGTTATAAAACATTTGACAATAAATTATACATATAAAGTAACGTCTCAATATATTTTTAAATGAAGTTAAAAAGAACTGTTACTAACATCATCTTAATTTATCTTATAAAATTATCAGGTACACAAAAAAATTATATTATAACAAAATAAAAGAGTAATGTAATTCAAACAAATAATTGTACCTTTCAATTATATTAATGAAGCAAGAATAAGAAAACAAAAATAACATAGGAACATAGCAATTATCAATATATATCATGACAAATTATTCACCCTCATTTTGTTCTTCCTTAGTAATATCTTGTAGAAATGTTAATAAAAGTGTATCCTGTGTTTTTTTATTCAGTTTAAGCAATTTTTGTTTTATATAAATAAACATACCATCCAATGCATCCATTTCAGGTGGCTTTGGAAGATTTATAACAGGCATTTCTTTATTACAAAATGCTTCAGCTATACGATTCATTGATGCACTTAAATCATTGTTAATTTTAGCTCGTTTAGTACTAGGTTTAACATAAAGCTCATCTGCAAAGAGATTGTTTGACTGTATCTATAATGCCTGTCATTAATACGTAAACACTTTCTATAATACAATCGGTCAGTCAGCAAATAATAGATAAGATGTATAACTATTAAACCTACCTTCGTTACTTTCATGTTGTTCATTGCTGTCTAAGCTGTTCTCAAAAAGATTGTTGGACTCAATATTTTGAGTCGTAAGGTTAGAAATGGAGCTGTAAAATAAAGTTGTACACATGTGTAAAAAGTGATATACTTTCTGCTTGTAGAAACTGAACGTAAAAAGGACATTGCTTCAAAATGTTTCCATGGTTTTTGTGAATTTGATCTTGCTGACCCACTCGGTTTTTTTCCTTCAGCCACTGCTTTACTAAACGTGTCTTTAAGTGATTTCCACCTCTTTTTAGCATCTTCAGGACTGATACGACCTAAAATATTTATAAAAACATCCTTTAAAAATATTTAATAGCTACGATCGAGTTGGCGTACAAATGCTTTGAAACATTGTGTTTTCTCTTTTAGCTTTAGAGATTCCAAGGAAAAAGAGAAGAGAAATGCTTTGAAGCATTTGTAGTGCTGACTCAATCACAGCCAACATCAATATTTTTTTTTTTATAATTTAGGTTTATGTGAAAATTGGTACCATTAAGAGCATTAGAAAATTTCTTTCCATAACTCTGCAAGTTTGTATCTGCCACGAACAGACAAAGGCAATGTATAACAAAGGAGGTCTTTTTCTGACTTCTTCGATTAACGCTTCTTCTAATATACTTTTGTCTGTTGTCAAGCACAGTATTGATTGTCGATCTTCTTCTACAATAAAGCAATCATCTGTGGATTTAACCACTCTTTCGTCTATTCCTTTGTTGTCAAATGATAAGCTCTTTGATTTATCTTGTAGTAATACAAGTTGTTCCTCATCACATTTTTTTTCAAAATATTGTCCTTGTTCTGCAATATCACAATAGTACTAGTTACAATTATAATACCTAAAAAAATGAGTGGATAATCATCGTATACTTGCATTAATTATAGTTCTTACCATTAGTAGGATAAAACATTTTAGTATCTCCATTAATTGTGATACTATACCAATCTTTCATGCATTGATGATTAAAAATCTTGTATTTATTAACTTTTGATATGCACACTCCACATGTTAAATCCGATTCCTATACAAAGAGTACATTGTTATAGATAATACTCATGTTATATTTATAAAAGAGTGCAAATTATTTTCTTCATGTTAGGTTAAGTTGTAATATACGGTGCCAATTGCGCAATTCTATAATATATCTACTGTTTAATAATATCTATTATATATATATATACATAATATATTTTTTTCATGTAGAATATAAATAATATTAACCTTTATAGCGTCTATAAAACTTTTATCACTAGACATTGTAATAAGCGTCAAGATGCTGAAATCTGCCAGTTCTGAACATGCGCAAGGGCGTTGCGCACGCGTTTTTGAAGCTTGACGCTCGACGCTCGACGCTCCTATGTAAAGGCACCTTAAGAAGGAGCATGTTGGGGAATGCGACGTGCACAAACCTTCTGAAGGTACCTTTTCATGTATCGCTCATCGCTCGTTTTCGGCGATATAATGACATCACGTAATCGTTAGAGACATGATTTTGTAGTTGGATTTTTCCAATTACAAGCGATATTAACAAGTGTGAAAGACAACTTTGAAATTTATGAATCAAATGGATAATGAAAGTGTAACATACTCAATCCACAAAAAATATTTAATTTAATGAAAAATTATTATTTGCTCGTGTATAATGGTAAAACAATCCACATATAAGTAAGCGGAAAAATTACGAAAGGATATCTCTTTTAACATTTGACTAATTAATAATTGTATTAACCACTCACAGTGCACACCGAAAGTAGTACAATAAATTTCTCGCAAACAAACGATAAAATTTCACGGGATAATTTTTAAGGGTCGACAGGCGAATGGGGAGACGCCTATCGGCCGGGCGGGAATTCGGATTCGTTCATCCCATATATTAGCCAAATACTTAATGGAATCTTATTAAATTACGATATTCTAATCAGTAGGATTGTCCGCAGGGAGACAAAGATCGATTTTTTGGAAAAAAGATAAATAAAAATTTCATAATATAACTTGGGAAGATGCGCAGCTAGCAGCGGGTAAGGTTGGTTAGCCACGAGATCGTATTTAATATATTATAAATTTTTAAGAGCAATAATGCAAAATTTGATTCTTTGTCTCCCTGCTTTATTATATAAAGAATATATTAAAAAATATTTCACGAAGCTACGTAACTTCTTTTTATGTAATATTTGGGATGAACAAATCTCACTAGATCTATACTCATGGGGAAAATTTCGTGGTAACATACTGACAGCTTGACAAGGAGAGAGTATCATTCTATCTTTGTCTCTCTTGCATTGATATGTGTAAAATCAGTATAAATACAAAAACCAATATATTATGCACACGA